TCGTTGACTCCACCCACACTGAAAATTAGACATTTTTACTGTACCAATTAAGAGATATTTCAAATTAAAAGTCATACATTTGTACCAAGAAACGGGTACATTTCTGAATATTTTAGGTGCTATAAAAACTATTTTCTCAATAATTTCAACAATGACTAATGCATATAAGTTGAGGAAATCTCTGACCACACATATACAGAAAATGAAAAATCTTTACTGTGGTAATGAAGAGATTTTTTTTAAAGTAAATGTCCATTAAATTAATGGACAAATTAATTTGTTCCAAGAAATATCCAACAACTGAATATTTGAGGTGCTATAAAAAGAGTTTTCTTTATAATTCCAGACAATGACTAGTGCATATGTGTTCATGACATCTAACTATACTAATACTGAGAATCAAATATTTTTACTTTCCCAATTAAGAGATTTTCCAAAATATAAGTCCTTCTTTTGAACGTTCAAAAAGTTCATTTGTTAATATTTAAGGTGCTATAAAAAGGATTTTCTTAATAATTCCAGATAATGACTGATGCATATCTGTTCAAGACATCTTTGACTCCACCCATACTGAAAATTAAACAATTTTACTGTACCAATTAAGAGATATTTAAAAGTAAATGTCATACATTTGTACCGAGGAACAGGTAATTTCTGAATATTTGAAGTGTTATAAAAAGTATTCCCTCAACAATTCCAAACAATGATTGATGTATACAGGTGCATCTCAATGAATTAGAATATCATTGAAAGTGTGATATATTTCGAGTGTTTATTTCTTTTGATTTTGATGGTTAGGCTATGGCTTACAGCTAATAAAAACCCAAACACAAAATTCCGTATCTCAGAAAATTAGATATTACATAAGACCGATTAAAAAAAGGATTTTTAATACAGAAATGTTGGCCTACTGAAAAGTATGTCCATGTATACAGTATGCACTCAATACTTGGTCGAGGCTCCTTTTGCATGAATTACTGCATCAATGCGGCATGGCACGGAGGCGATGAGACTGTGGCACTGCTGAGGTGTTATGGAAGCCCAGGTTGCTTTGATAGCAGCCTTCAGCTCGTCTGCATTGTTGGGTCTGATGTCTCTCATCTTCCTCTTGACAATACCCCATAGGTTCTCTCTGGGGTTTAGGACAGGCGAGTTTGCTGGCCAATCAAGCACAGCGATACCGTGGTCATTAAACCAGGTATTGGTACATTTGGCAGTGTGGGCAGGTGCCAAGTCCTGCTGGAAAATGAAATCAGCATCTTCATAAAGCTTGTCAGCAGAGGGAAGCATGAAGTGCTCTAAAATTTCCTGGTAGAAGGCTGCACTGACTTTGGACTTGATAAAACACAGTGGACCAACACCTGCAGATGACATGGCTCCCCAAATCATCACTGACTGTGGAAACTTCACACTGGACCTCAAGACACTTGGATTGTGTGCCTCTCCACTCTGCCTCCAGACTCTGGACCTTGATTTCCAAATTAAATGCAAAATTGACTTTCATCTGAAAAGAGGACTTTGGACCACTGAGCAACAGTCCAGTCCTTTTTCTCCTTAGTCCAGGTAACTTAGCTCAGGCAACTTAGCCCAGGTAAGACACTTCTTACGTCTCTGGTTCAGGAGTAGCTTGACACAAGGAATGCGACAGTTGTAGCCCATGTCCTGGATACGTCTGTGTGTGGTGGCTCTTGAAGCACTGACTCCAGCCGCAGTTCACTCCTTGTGATTCTCAACCAAATTCTTGAATGACCTAAACCCCAGAGAGAACCTATGGGGTATTGTCAAGAGGAAGATGAGAGACATCAGACCCAACAATGCAGACGAGCTGAAGGCTGCTATCAAAGCAACCTGGGCTTCCATAACACCTCAGCAGTGCCACAGTCTCATCGCCTCCGTGCCATGCCGCATTGATGCAGTAATTCATGCAAAAGGTGCCCCGACCAAGTATTGAGTGCATACTTTAAACTGTACATAGACATACTTTTCAGTAGGCCAACATTTCTGTATTAAAAAACCTTTTTTAAATTGGTCTTATGTAATATTCAAATTTTCTGAGATACAGAATTTGGGTTTTTTATTTGGTGTAAGCCATAATCATCAACATTAAATGAAATAAACACTCGAAATATATCACCTTGTGTGTAATGAATCTATATCATATATGAGTTTTATTTTTTGAATTGAATTACTGAAATAAATTAACTTTTCGATGATATTCTAATTCATTGAGATGCACCTGTATATATTAACCATTGTTTGGAATTATTGAGGAAACACTTCAAATATTCAGTTATTGGATATTTCTTGGAACAAATGTAGGACATTTACTTTAAAAAATCTCTTAATTACCACAGTAAAAATGTTTAATTTTCTGTATATGTGTAGTCAGAGATTTCCTCAACTTATATGCATCAGTCATTGTTTGGAATTATTGAGAAAATAGTTTTTATAGCACCTAAAATATTCAGAAATGTACCCGTTTCTGGGTACAAATGTATGACTTTTAATTTGAAATATCTCTTAATTGGTACAGTAAAAATGTCTAATTTTCAGTGTGGGTGGAGTCAACGA